CAATGCGGTGACCTCAGAAGATGAAAGGCTACTTGGGGCAACCCCAGAATGTCCTCCCAGGCATTGAGCGCTATTAACCCCAGTCTGAGCAGGAAAGGCGGCCCTCTCCTTCCTCCCTCCCGGGGGGGGGGGGCACAATCGCCCACACCCTCACCCCCTTGCTTCCCCCGCCTGTATTCTGGAGCTGTCCTGCACACAGTGATGGACTCAACTCCACTTCTGCTGTCACTCAGGGGGGAATGATTCCCAGTTCTCTGGGCTCCAACAGGGAACCGGCATCTTTGATTCTTTGGATTCTTTATCGAGCAAAATTCTGTCCGTTGCAGGCGACAAAGGACCCAGGCACTCACAAGAATTTCCCAGCCCCGTCCGTCCCCCAATCCACTGAAACGTGATCACCCCCACAGTGACACAGAAACTTCTGTGCTTCGTACACACTTCCACAGGTCTCAGCTCCAAAACAAAGTCCACTCCTCACGTCTACGGCGGGCAAACCAGCACCATTCTTCCTCCTCTCCTTCACGAGGACCACAAACCGAGGCTCGTCAGGCTGGAACGGCCTTTAGGGACGATACAACCTCCTCTCAAAGATGAGAAAATGGAGAGGAATCTCACCCAGGTAGCTAAATTAGCGGCAGAGGCAAAGTGAGAACCAGACCCCCAGGCTCCAGCCGCGATGTTCCTCCCGTCAAAACACCCCCTGACTCCCTTTAAAACATCCCGACTCCTGAGATCGGTAAGAAGATCCATCACACTGGAGCATCTCAAACAAAAGCGTCACGTGTCGCCGACTTTAACTGGTGTTAACACCCTGCGACGCCTTTCAAGTTGAGCCGCGACGCAGACCGACCAGGTACAGTTCCAGAATTTACAATGATATTAGCTCTCTACGGCAGAAAACCACACAAACAAGAATCCTTGTTCGAAAATAGATTCCCCCCGATTCCCTGCGGGGCACCCGCCGCCTCTGGCTACAAAGCAGTAATTATCCTGTACTACAGCAATCAATAAAACCTTTTGCCCCCCTGAACCTGCTATTCCCTGACTTTGTTCTCCGCGCGGAAGATTTCCAAGTCATATTGATCACCTACTAAATTTTTTCTCAAGTTCCTTAAAAGGAGCCACGAAGACATTCTCAAATTAGCATAACTTGTTATTGTTTGAGCGGGCTTCGGATCACTCAGGCACATTAATGCTTCCCCCCCTTGACTGGGTGTTCCCATTTTTCATCGGGAATTTGTCATTTTAAGTGTCTCTCTGTCTTGCCTAATAGCGCAAAGTCAGTAGGATACAAATTTGATGGTGTTTCCGAAACTGTGGCTGCTGCCACATTTTTCAGCCAAGCGAGGAGGAAGAATTGATTGATAAACTATGCCCTCTCTCTCTCTCTCTCTCTTTCTCTCGAGCAACAGCATGCATTTCTACCAAATGAACCCATTAGCTCCAAGAGTGTTAAAATTCAGCACCCTGGAACTTGTCTCCAGAACGATTCACTAGAGAATCTATTATATAAAGTGAAACCATCGTAGTACAGCCTTTCCAAGGGCATTTAACTGCTAACGCGTCAAACTTTAAGAGCGAGTCATAAAGGAGATGAGAAAGGACGGCGAGGGGGCGAGGGAGGCACCCTCCCGAGGGTGTGTGGGCACGACCACGGGGCCTCTGTGTGCAGAGCGGGGCGGGCAGAAAGACCTCTCGTCCCCTAAACAGCACTGACGCCTTCCCAACATTCCATCAGCGCGAAGCATCCATCGCGACTGGTTTGCTTCATGAGCCGACAGAGACCACGGGGAAATTAAATAATCGTGCATTACACCGTTATCTTTTCACCTCGGCAGCTGTCTTAATTCAAAGCAAAGGGAATAGTATTCAGTCTTAAAAAAGAAGGAACCTATCTTACACCACTCACAAAAATTCACTCGAAATGAGCTACAGACCTAAGTGTAAGACCAAAAACCATAAAACTCCTAGAAGAAAACAGAGGGGTGCAGGGGGTGGGGAGAGCACCCGGACATCAATCTTAGCGGGGTTTTTTTTTTTTTTTTGGATAGGATGCCTAAAGCACAAGCAATAAAACAAAAAATAAACAAGTGAGACTACGTGAAGCTACAAAGCTTCTGCACAGCAAAAGAAACCATCATCAAAATGAAAAGATAACTTGGGGCGCTTGGGTGGCTCGATGGGTTAAGCGTCCGACTCTTGGGTTTCGGCTCAGGTCGTGAACACGTGGTTTGTGAGTTTAAGCCCCACGTCGGGCTCTGCGCTGATGGTGCAGAGCCTGCTTGGGATTCTCTCTCTCCCTGTCCTTCTGCCCCTTCCCCTCTCTCTCTCTCTCTCTCTCTCTCGGTCTCTCTCTCAAAAAGAAATAAATAAACTTAAAAAACTTTTTTAAAAAATGAAAAGATAACCTACGGAACGGGGAAAAATATTGGCAGCCACATACTGATAAGGGGTTAATATCCAAAATACATATAGAACCCATACAAGTCAATAGCCGAAAACAATCCAATTTAAACATGGGCAGAAGCGTCACTGGTTTCCCTTCATGCGTTTGGTGAAGGGGACTGGAGGTACGAGCTTCCAGTTATGACGTGAATACACCGCAGGGATGAAAAATACAGCCAATGAGACCATCACAGCGTTGCATGGGGACAGATGTTAGCCACACTTGTGGGGAGCAGAGCACACGATACAGAGAAGGTGAATCACTTTGTTGCACACCCAAAACTGCTGTAAAATTGCGTGTCCACCGTATTCAATTTAACAAGAAAGCAAGAAAAAGTGAGAAGCTCTGAATAGACATTTCTCCAAAGAGCGCATCCAGGTACACGAAAAGACGCTCGCCATCACTCATCATCAGGAAAACGCAAATCCAGACCACGGGGAGGTGTCGCTTCACACGCGCAGGATGGCTATCGTCACAGAGACCAGAGAGAACATGCGGGCGAGGATGTGGAGAAGCGGGAGCCCCCGAGCACTGCTGGTGGGAATGCCAACCGGTGCAGCCGCGGTGGAAAACAGTACAGAAGTTGGTCAAAAACTTAGAACTAGAACTACCCTGTGACCCAGCAATCCCATGACTGGGAGTCTATCCAAAGGAAACAAAAACACTATGCCAAAGAGAGCTCTGCGCCCCATGTTCATCGCAGCATTATTTACAACAGCCAAGACATTAAAACCACCTACGTGTTTATGGGCAGATGAACAGATAAAGAAAATGTGGGGGGCGCCTGGGTGGCCCAGTGGGTGAAGCGTCTGACTTCGGCTCAGGTCATGATCTCACGGTTCATGGGTTCAAGTTCCACGTCAGGCTCTGTGCTGATGGCTCAGAGCCTGGAGCCTGCTTCAGATTCTGTGTCTCCCTCTCTCTCTGCCCCTCCCCTGTTCATTCTCCCTCTCTCTCTCTCTTTTTCTCTCTCTCTCTGTCTCTCAAAAATAAATAAAACATTTAAAAAAAGGCAATGAGCTTGTGACCACATCAAAAATCAGTGAACCGCACACTTAAAGGGATGAATCTTACAGTATGTGGATCGTGACTCAGGCTTTTTTCAACTATCGATGTGGGGGAGGGGCACACTCACAAATGTCATCGCCTCTAAGGGCGCCAGGGGCTTCGTGGGCAAAGACGGGGTTTGACCCTGGTTACCTGAGGAAGTGACCGGTGAGCTAACCGCTGGGGGAGGAAGGGGTAACGTGGGCAGAGGAGCAGAAAGAGGTCCACGGGGGAGAAGAGACGCAAAGGGCCCGTCTCTCTTTCTTCCAAGGCAATAAGGAGCCACGAGTCAGCTGAGGCCCGGGCAGTGCAGTCGGTGCTTACAAATGTCACAGAAATGCAACTCAAACTCCACGTGTCTACTATGACTGCCTGTTAGCAGGCTCTCAATTAGGCACCACCCAGACCATTCCCACCAATCGGAAGAACGATCTATCGGAACTCGGAACACAAGACAGTATCGAAAAGTTCCGGGAAAAAGCCACCGCCCATAACGGTGGACAAGAAGAAGCTCGGAATTCAGCTCTAACATGTTACGTGTCGGTTCGAAATGAAAACATCAAGTCGGAATTCTAACAGGCAGGCAGTCCTACGGACACGTTCCAGGCGCCTGAGGATCAGCGCAGAAAGTCTTCAAGCGTCACCCTGTCATCAAACACGGAAAACAAGGTGTTGAGGTTCAAGTATTTGGTAACGCAGCTTTTCTCATGTACACGATCGCATGGGCTCCTTCCGTGCCTGCGTGACACGCGGGGTTTTCTCCAACTCTGCACCACGGCCAGTTTGAGCCCGCGATTCCCTGTGTGGGGACCGTCCTGTCCAAGCAAGGGTGTCTGTCTGCCAGCACCCGGCCTTCCCACCCGATGTCAGCAGCATCCCCTACCCCCTGTCGTAACCAAAACAGGCATTGCCAAAAGTCCCCTGGGGGGGTACAGTCACCCCAGTGGAGTACCCCGTCTTCCAGCAACGAAATGGATCTCAACTACACAAGCTCTGGCCATTCCCTCGAGAGTAATGTCATTTCTCCACATGAGTTTGGTTTTCTACATGCCTCACACCCTGACGGTCTCCCTGCAAGAAGGCAGGTTAAACCTTCTAGAGAAGCCTGTTCCAGATGCTCGATGCCACTGTTCAAAACGCCCCGTCTCTAAGGTGGAAGAAAAGCCACACAACCCAAAGAGGAAACAAGACGTCAGTCATGGGCGTCCCTCAGCCTCCCTTTCCCACCCCCAACACCCGTGTGACGGTCAGGCTCCAAAGCTTTAAGTCTGCGGAAGGCCACGGTCGGCTGGGCGGACGTCCAAAAACGCACCCAGGTCCCCCCTCACTCTGGAGCCCCTCCAGCCACTGAAACTCAAGACACGTCACGTCAAGCACCAGACCTCCCTCCTACGTCGGTTTTCGAATCTCTGCCAGGCTTGTCTACAAGCGTCACGGACGGCGATCGCTCGGGGACCAAAAGGCTTCGGGACGCGGGCCAGCTTGGCGTCCGGATGCCGGAGCTTACCATCCGGGGGCATCAAGGCCTTGTTATTCTGCGTGCACCACCCCACCGGGTGGAGGTCCGCTATCACCACATCACACCAGAAGTCGGCCCGGCGGTCCTCGCCGTAGCCGCAGTAGCGCAGAAGCAGCAGCTGGCCGCAGGTGGTGATGACGGTGGCCACCCAGTACGTGTCCGGGTTGTTCTTATTGGCCACTTCTAATTTCATCCCCGGCTGGAAGTTGCTCTGAAGGCTGATCTCCACCTGGAGGAAAGAGAAGCACAGGGACGACGTCACTATGCCCGACACATCCGGAAGATTACAAGAGCTGCTAAGACAACGGCACGTAAGGGGCACCCGGGGGGCTCAGTCGGTTAAGCGTCCGAATCTGGATTTCAGCTCAGGTCAGGATCTCACGGTCTGTGGGTTCAAGCCCCGCACTGGGCTCTGTGCTGACGGTGCGGAGCGGGCTTGGGACTCTCTCTCTCCCTCTCTCTCTGTTCCCCCCCAACTTGTGCGCTCGCTCTCTCTCTCTCTCTCTCTCTATCTCTCTCTCTCCCCACCCAAATAACTTAAAAAAAAACACACAGCACTTAAAAACAACATTCCTGGGGTGACTGGGTGGTTCAGTCGGTTAAGCGTCCAAATTCAGCTCAGGTCACGAGCTCATGATTCACGAGTTCGAGCCCCGCATCGGGCTCTGTGCCGACAGCTCAGAGCCCGGAGCCTGCTTCGGATTCTGTGTCTCCCTCTCTCTCTGCCCCTCCCCCGCTTGTGCTCTGTCTCTCTGTCTCTCTCAAAAATAAAAAATAAAAATAAAGACAACATTCCTATTGGCTTAGAACAGCGCTAAGAGGAATAGAACCGGACGTTACGCTTTCTAGTAACCATGTTAAAAAGGCAAGATAAAACAGATGAAATTAATTTAATGACAGATTTTACTCGACCCAACATATCCCAAACATCATCATTTCAAGATGTAATCCACAGACCTATTCATGACTTGTTCTACATTCTTCCTTCCCAAGGAAGCCTGCGAAATCTGGTGTGTGTTCTACCTCGACAGCATCTGTCCGGATGGTACACGTCTCAAGGGCTCAGGAGCTCCGTGTGGCTAACGGCCACTGCGGGGATAGCACAGCCTTAGAGAAGGGGTCTCCTTTCTTTTCTTTTAATTAACGGTTACAGTCCATTAGGATCTACCAGCCCTCCCCTGAAAAGAAAGCCTTGGAGCCTGGTGGGCCGTACGTTCGAAAGCTAACAAACACATCTGATATCCGTGAGTAGCAGCTGCTTAAGAGATGATGGAATTATCCATAGCTTGTCCACGGGTCCACACCACTTTTCTTTTAAACCCTGCACACGTGCATCCAGGAGAGTACCCTGGGGTTAAAGGGGAGGTGGGAGAAATGACAGGATTAAAGAGAACAGAGTGGCTCCGTGGGAGGATATTGGTAACTTCCTGGTCCAGAAAGGAAGGAAAAGTTTGTGGGACAGTACCTCTTTCCTACACCACCTGAAGGGATCTAGCTGAGTCATTCCAGAATCTGAAGGGGCAAAACAGCCAAAAGCAAGAACAGGCTGGAAATGTGCCCCCACTTTGCTCACCACACTCGGGCTAAGAAGTCTTGGCCCCGGAGAGCCCAGAGAGAAGGAAAAAAAAAAAAAAATGTTTCTTGGAATTAAATTTTCGTTTCCAGCAAAGAAACTGTAATGCCTCAGAACTCCAGTCCTGGAAATTCAGTCTTCCCCTTGCTAATGGCATATGACCAAAAATCTCACCCATAAGCAAAAATCTGGTAAAACCTCGATCTTTTACTCCCTAGGACTTCCCCTTGGCTGGGCACACTATTTGCATTGCTCAAAGAATATTACTGCGAAAATGATTTTTTGGTTTGATACAAATGTGCCCTGAATATTTACAGGGGATTTCCTCTGACTTCACTCCTCTGCCCCCAAATGGCTAGAAGACTTTTAGGTGTCCTGTCAAAATAAAAATATCATTTCCAACTAAGAGAATACACAGCCATTACATCTCCTGAGATACTATTACTCTTCACATGTACTTGCCTAGTTTGCTGGCTCTTTACTCGCATCAATCAATCTTTCCTGTCTCGGGCCGTGTCTACTCGGGCTGTTTAGGGTACAGAACAAGGATAAGGGTACACGCTGAGCTCCCCCTCCCCAGGCCCAGCCCCCCGTTATCAGAAGAGATAACGTACAAGGATAAGGCCCATCTTCCCCACAGCTCTCTGCGAAAAGCAAACAGACACGTGTCCGTATCTCCTCCTGATTTCTAAGAAATCCTGGCTCAATTTCCCTTTGCTTCCCCAAGGTTCAGCATCTTCCTGCAGATGCCCCTCCCTCCCTCCAAATGCAGAAAGAGAAGGCGTGTCACATACATGTTTGAACGACGTGTGAGGAGCCGCGCTGGCTCCCGTTTCTTCCAGATACTCTCCCCAGTTAAAGCCAATTTCCTCCAGGCTTGAACCTTCTTCTGTTGAAAAGACAAAAAAATAAATAAATACATAAAGTCAGAATATCAATACCAGAGCGACGAATGGAACGGCACCGGCCCTCAGTGAAAAGCAGGAAATCCGTGACGCAGGAGACAAGCAAATTCAACGGGTTAGGAGAACACTATTACATGCACAGCATCGTATGCTGACTGCAGAATGTTGACTAAGAAAAGGAAACACTGGAGAAATTCTACGTGAGCTACCCCGGCAAAATCCAGGGTAAAATTAAGTGCGCTCTCAGGCAAACGAAATGAGATTTGTTTCGGGGCACAGTTGCCGCGTGTTAGCATATTCACTTGGAATTAGCCACTGTCACTGTGGGCACTTCATGCTTCCGGGAGGTCGGAGGACCAGGTAAAGGAAACCACTGGGCATTAAGGAGGCACCTTAATGTACAGATGAACACCTCTGAGCACTGGTCACTTACCACAGCTGGAGGTTACAAAACGACAGCACAGATTGTTGGTGTTGTAAGGGACCTTATTAGGAAGCACCTGCCCGGACGTGATTCCAAGGAAAACACTATTTGAGGTCCAGAAGGATCGCTCCAAGACGTGAGGTCACCTAGCAAGTTAGTGACAGAAGCCGACCAGCTGTCAATCAAACAATTCTCCAGACATTGAAGACTGTGCGTAAGGTACAATCTCTATCGTCAAAAGGCACCAGATAACTCCTCTTGAAGCACAGGTAACGACATTATGGCGTAGTTTCAAATGGAAAGAACTAATAAGCTGTAAACGTTACTTTCACCTATCTGCAGGGCTATCATAAGGAACACAGAGCAGTCGGGGGTACCCACACATGCAGATAGGCAAGAGCTTCAAAAGTTTAGATTCTCTTTTCTTGCAATACCGAGCAACGGGTGTGGATGTTCAGCCTGTGTGTCTTCTACAGGCAAGAAGCCTATGTCACTGGCCAAGAATAAACACTGCTTTTGGTCACGTTGCTGATGGAGAAGTGGTATATCCTGGCAGGTAGGCCAGCCGGATCGACAACAAGGGACTCTAAGAAAGGAAGCCTTGTTCTTGCGGGCTATCGCTGCCTTTCTTTCCACGAGAGGTTTCTTTCGTTGTCAGTAGGAAAAGCCATTTTCTTGGGAGGCTCTGCGGCGTCTCAGAAATCGACAGAAGGTAATTTTTGTAAAGCCGGATGACGCGAGGCTAAACGCAGTTACCTTACGTTTTGTCTTCTAAATCAAAGTTGCTTAAACACGGCCTCCGCAGATCCTACCCCCGTCAAGTGGCTTGCAATTAAACGTCCGAGAAAAACAAAAGCCATCTGAAGAGCAAATCTTTTTCCCTTGTCGTTCTCCCAACATTCTGCTGCATCCAGGGACTTAAGTCCTTCCACTGGAAACACGCTCCCCGAAAAAAGTCAGGGGGTCCTCTAGCCGCCAGCCAACGAGAGACACTCTGAGACACAGTTATGTTCTGGAAAGTACTTCGGGGCGGGGGGTGGCGGGGGTCACCCAGTGGGTGGTCTGACCCACAGTTCTTCTCTCCAAAAGGCCGCAAGCATCGATTACCAAGTCTGTTTCCTGAGGCACCAGCCAAAGGCATCCCCGCACAGCACTTACATGCTCAGGGGGGCTGGCGAGGTGCCTGTTTGGCGGCTAACTTGTCGCAAAGCAGGTCTGGAATTGCTGCACCCCCTACTTGTCCAGCTTAAGCTCAGCCCACGCCACCGGCAGGCCTCGTCCGCTCCAGCTGTGGGTCATGCACGGAGCCCCACAGAGACACCACACGGTCACGGCAGTGTCCTAAGAGCCACGCTGTCCTGGGCTGGCAGCTCTCTGCTCATTGCTCTGCAGGCATCACCGCATTTCGTCCTTCCAAGAACCCTGACAGACGCTTACTACCATCCCCACCTCACGGAAGAGAAGTCGGGAGCCCCGCAAGGCGAGGGAGCCACCGGGACCACGCAACTGTCTGGCCGCAGAGGCCGGAGTCCTGCCCAGGCTGTCTGCTTTCGAGCCGGAACGCCTCCCAGGCGCCTTCCTGGTCACCCTTCCACCCGATCTCACGTGGGGCACGTCCACTCCACCACCACGACCCGTTCCTCCTCCGGGAGGGTCCAAGGTGCACTCCAGGGCCGGCTTCTGTGTTGGCGAGCATTAGAACATTCCAGAGCCAAGCCAGGAGGCGGGAAGACGCAGGTGACCCGGCAAGGCGGGAGGCAGCAGCCAGGCTCAGCAAGAACAGAGGGCGCAGAGCCCCTGGAGTCCTTCTGCAGGAGGACACAGCGAGGGGAAGACGTGGGCATAAAACTCAGTCTTGGGCCTTCAGATCCAGAAGGTCCTGGCAGAGCCCCTGGGTGAATGAACAGCTCCCGAAGGTGGAAGGGCCCTCCTGGGGGGTGACCGCTTCTGTGACATCAGAAACATCTGCCTGGAGACGGGGCCCCCAGGAGCTGCCCGCCGCAGCCGGTGCCTGGGCCTACAGAGCTCCGATGGGCCCCATCACCGCGCCTGGAAGGACCTGGGGACTCGGTCACTTGGAATCAGCTGTGAGGGCGAGACCGTGGGTCACATTTCTCAGCTTTGGGGCGGCTCCCCGCAATGCTTCCTGCTTCAGACAGCTCCCACCTAGGCTGCATACATCCTACCCCACATTTTGTTCTCGCCGAACCTTAATTCATCACAAACTGTGTTTCTCTTCCCGCAATACACAGGCCGTAGATGCTTTCATGCTCCCTCGGGTGCTCGTTCAAGTTCCCAAGAGATGGAGACGTCCCCCCTGTGACTCCCAAGTGAGCCCCTGAGAACATGCTTCAGGGGCGTCTGGGTGGCTCAGCCGGCTGGGCGTCCAACTCACCGCTCGTGAGTTCAAGCCCCACAGCGGGTTCTGGGCTGACAGTGCAGAGCCTGCTTCAGATCCTCTGTCCCATCTCTCTCTCTCTCTCTGCCCCTCCCCCCATTCTCTCTCTCTCTCTCTCTCTCTCTCTCTCTCAAAAATAATACACTTGGGGGGAAAAAAAAAGAACACCACTTCGGAGAGTTGATGCCTCCTGCAGTCCAGAAAAAATACTTTAAATTTTTTTTTACTTTTTTTAACGTTTACTCATTTTTGGTAGAGAGAGACAGAGCATGAGTGGGGGAGGGGCAGAGAGAGAGGGAGACACAGAATCCGAAGCAGGCTCCAGGCTCTGAGCGGTCAGCTCAGAGCTCAACGGGGGGCTGGAACCCACGAACTGTGAGATCCTGACCTGAACCGAAGTCAGACACTCAACCGACTGAACCACCCAGGCGCCCCCAGAGAAAACACTTTTAAAAAGAACCCAGAAGTCAGATCTGGAATGGGATTTTAAAAAATAAAGCTTTTATGTCCCGCACTGGTAGTTTTGACAATAAAATCGCACAGCAAACTTAGGGTCCCCTACAAGAAGTCTTTCCCAGTCTGTGACTCCTGGCACATCCCCCCAGCACACACATCCCCAACAGCTGATTCTCTAAAGACGTTTCAATGAGCAACAGATAAACACACACGCTGTTTATGAGCGGAGGTCTCATAAACCCAGAGCAAATATTTACAGCTGATTCATAAACCTCTTAAGCCTGTAAACATTTTATCAGGGAAACCCTGACAACCTCCCTCCTCTGCGAAGGCACCAGTGGGAAGCATTTTTCCCCACGATGTCATGAAAACAGACCATGAAATGCCACCAAGGAAATTTCACCACTTAAAAGAAAACAGGCATATGCTCATTAGCGGCCATCCAGTTCTGCAAAACAGAAGGCTACTTATGCGACCAACATATTTATTTCATAACAGACAGAAAAGGAACACTAATCGTTGAGGTGCAAGCCACTTGACGGTGAAAAATGGAATGAACGAACGGCTCACACACCTTTTTTGAGGTAATCAAGTCCTGGGTTTTGATTTCACTGTCTGAAATAAGGCTGCCTTTGCAAGGCTGACTATTAAAAGTCCCTGACTGCTAACTACCCAAATAAAGGAGCATCGGCAGGTTTGAAGTGAATAAAATCTTAACAGAACACGTTCCCATGTGCTAGGTGTTCTTCATAAATAAGGGAAGAGAAAGGAAGGCATTAAGTCTTTGCTATTTCACCTGCCGATAGTCTGGTCACACCATCACAAGGTGTAAAAAATAGTTCCAGGGGCGCCTGGGTGGCGCAGTCGGTTAAGCGTCCGACTTCAGCCAGGTCACAATCTCGCGGTCCGGGAGTTCGAGCCCCGCGTCAGGCTCTGGGCTGATGGCTCGGAGCCTGGAGCCTGTTTCCGATTCTGTGTCTCCCTCTCTCTCTGCCCCTCCCCCGTTCATGCTCTGTCTCTCTCTGTCCTAAAAATAAATAAACGTTGGGAAAAAAAAAAAAAATTAAAAAAAAAAAAAAAATAGTTCCACAGAGTACGTTAAATAGACACACAGGACGAACAAAACTCGGCTGGCCAACACCAATCCGAGGGCTGAGTTCACGGCTGCAGGACGACCCCAGGGAAGCGGGGACAGTCACTGAGCACAGAGGTCCTCACCCCCGTCTGACCACCCAGGCGGCCAGAGAGATTTTTTTCAGAAGAAAGAAAACACATAAAAATTATCCAATCACCCAGCTTGGTTGGGAAGGACAGTAACTATTCTAGAGAGAGGGGTTTTTTGGTCTTTTCTTTGTTTTAATTTTTTTAATATTCATTGATTTTTGAGAAAGAGAGAGAGAGACAGAGTGTGAGTGAGGGAGGAGCAGAGAGAGCGGGAGACACAGAATCCGAAGCAGGCTCCAGGCTCTGAGCCGTCAGCACAGAGCCCAATATGGGGTTTGAACCCACAAATGGTGAGATCATGACCTGAGCCAAAGTCGGACACTTCACCGACTGAGCCACGCAGGCACCCCGCTTTTTTGTTGTTGTTGTTTTTTTTTTCCAACATTTATTTAATTTTGGGACAGAGAGAGACAGAGCATGAACGGGGGAGGGGCAGAGAGAGAGGGAGACACAGAATCGGAAACAGGCTCCAGGCTCCGAGCCATCAGCCCAGAGCCTGACGCGGGGCTCGAACTCCCGGACCGCGAGATTGTGACCTGGCTGAAGTCGGACGCTTAACCGACTGCGCCACCCAGGCGCCCCTGGAACTATTTTTTACACCTTGTGATGGTGTGACCAGACTATCGGCAGGTGAAATAGCAAAGACTTAATGCCTTCCTTTCTCTTCCCTTATTTATGAAGAACACCTAGCACATGGGAACGTGTTCTGTTAAGATTTTATTCACTTCAAACCTGCCGATGCTCCTTTATTTGGGTAGTTAGCAGTCAGGGACTTTTAATAGTCAGCCTTGCAAAGGCAGCCTTATTTCAGACAGTGAAATCAAAACCCAGGACTTGATTAC